GACACGCCGATGGGTTCGTACAATTCATTTAGCCGTGGAACGCCGGATCGGGGAGCTTCCCGTCGTGTCAGAGCCGGGACGAACTTCGGCGAATCATTACGAGACGATGACGCCACTCTTTCCGCGCACCTTTCCGCGCTGTCACAGGCGTAGGTGTCCCGGTGTGCGCGATAAAATATAATGCAGCGGCATTCTCCGGACGCCGGTTCATCGAGCACCGGGCACCGTTGCTTGAATGCGCGGCTTTGTTTGTCCGCCAATAAAAGAATTCCGCGAGTTTATCTATTCATCTTGTCAGCGTATCAATGGGACGCGTATCAATGCACGTAAAAGGATGCTCGAGCATCCATCTGCATTCCAATGCAGCCGCTGTACGCCCTGGCGATTCTGTCGCCGGGTTATTATTTACGGGTCTCCCCCAATTTAAGCGGCGGAACGCGCGGGGCTGCTTCTTTGTCCCGCAAAAATTCGCCGTAACAGAATCAGTTATCGCGCGCGGAACGTAACGAGAGTTACGTCTGCCGCGGTTTGATCATCCCGCCCGGCCGGCGGGTTTCATGGAAATCAACTTCGCCGAGTTCGTGCGACGCTGCGAACGAAGCGTGTTGGATCTCGACGTCGGCAACGCGGCGACGTTCTCCGGTCGGCCTGACGACGACGACGATAACCAACGGGCTGGCGACGTCGGGGCAAATGGAACGCGACGAGACGCGAAGCGCAGACGAAGCAGCCCCGCGTTTCCAGGCGAGACGCGCGAGGCAGGGAACGCGAATCGACGAGGGAAACGAGCGAGAACGAACGGAGGAACGGCAGCGTCGATTGAAAGGTGGGAAAAGGCGGCGGGGATCGAGCTGCTCCTCTTTCGACGCGGCTGCTCGACGTATCGAGAAAGTGCACACACTCCAATTTGCCGGCGCTTCGCGCGCTCTTCGACTTCTCGTTTACGACGTTACGTGGCGAGCATACTGCCGCTTTGAGCTCCGCGGGCACCGTGGAAATGGAAGGTGGCAGACCGGTTTCCGGTGCTTTCCGCCGAATAGATCCCGCGGATCGTCGGCGATTTCTAGATCGTCCTATCGTCGTCGTCCCCCCCGCGCGCACGCTTCGTGCGGACCCGAGCTTCTTGTTTTTTCCCTTCTTCGCGCGATACGAAGCACCCTCTAGCGCGCGTGCTCGCTCGGCTCGGCTCCGCGCCGCGCCGCTCCGCTCCGCGCCGCTTCGGTCGACCTTATTTTCTACGTGAAAAGTCGTTGAGCCGGCGCACCACTAATTAGAATGCATATTTCGGCCAGCCGTAATTGTAGGACGCGCGCGACGTTGCGCCATAATTTCATTACGTTTTAATTAACATGCTCCCAACGGCGACTTAAAGATCCCGCGAAGGATCCTCGAGGCGGTCCGGGGCTTTCCTCCTCCTCCTCCTCCTCCTCTCGCTTCTCGATATATCTGACCATCGCGCGTCGATACGGGCACGAGCCTCGTTTCCTGCCGGAAGACGCCTCGGATTCAAAGCGGAGCCTCGCGCGCAATTACCGGCTAGACGTCCCCGCGAGAAACGAGTCGTTGCTCGTTGCCGGCGAACACCGGATCGGTCAATAGACGGCCGATTCCGGCCGGTTAATTTGCCGGATCGTCGAAAACCGTTCGGCGCCGAGTGTGTCAGGGACCGGACCTGGCTCCGGGCGACGTCCCCGGCACCGAAGGGATCATCGCGGGTCGAGATTGCAGGACACTGGCGCCCCATCACGAACGGTTTATCGACGGAATTATCGCCCGTCCGTTTACCTTACTCCCGGGGACCATTATTATAAACTTCGCCCGCTATTCTATTAATGCGACCGTAACCATCTGCTAATCGAGCCACAGGAGAGCGCCTCCTTTTTGTCCACGCGTTCGGGCGCGGGCTGTGCCGTTCTAACGCTTCGGCTGCAGCGTCGCGCGTACAATGGTAGTCGTGTGCCTTTAACACTGGATTTATGGAAAACCGTCAAAATGACGGGTCGCTAGTTTTGTTAATTTACGATTGTTCAGATTGTAAAGATACACTTAGGAGTTGTTTATTCGATTCATGCGTTACTTGTGGCAAATGTTGCAATAACGGTTGTTAAAAGATCAGAATAAATGTCTCATTTTTAAGCTAATAAGCTAATATAAGCTAATTTAAAACAGCTGTTCTTTGTGCTTAGTAAATCTAGTGTTAAGCAGTTAGCTGTGTTCGACGAGTATACTCGTCATGGTTATGTCAAGACCATGTCAAGGTTATGGAGAAATCGTCAGAGAACTCGTAATGGAGAACTGGCAGTATTTTCTGCCATGACGAGTATACTCGTCGCGCTTGAAAAGTAGTGACCATTGGCTATTTAAATTGTAATTCTAGTGGAAACGAAAAATATTCTCAAATTATAAGATGTTTAGAATATTTTGAGATCAATCCTACATGAATATGTTTACATTGTTATAAAAATAAGATTAGAAAAGAATCGCGATATTGAAATATATGCCATCATGCATCGTTCCTTGCTTTGCTTTGAATACCACTCTATAGCAGCAATTTGAATGTTTAACTTTCATAAATGTTTGATTAGTAATAATATAACGGATTAGTAATAAAATTGTTAATTTTATAAAACAAAACCGTCACCACAGCTAATTAATTAAGGACACTTGAAAAACGGTATACGGTAAATTCTCCATAATTGAGCCCCAGCTTGAGACAAATTTGGGAAGACAATGAACAACTTAGGAAGCGGAGGTACGATTATTCGAGCCTTTTATAGTTATTGACAATCGATAACTATATAAAAACGAGCCACAACGCTAAAATAATCGTATCACCTCTCTCTAAATTGTCTATTTTTGTGTACTGAATCTGAGCGTCAATTAGGGAGAATTTACTGTAGATATTTTCAAACAGGATTAAAAAGCTTCTTTTTTAAATAATAGAGTCACTAGTATGACATAACCTTGACAATAGAGTCACTAATTTAGTGACTATTTATGATAAAATAATCGTATCACTTCTCCCCAAAATGTCCATTTTTGTATACTGAATCTGATCGTCAATTAGGGAAAATTTACTGTACATATTTTCAAACAGGATTAAAGAGCTTCAATCTGTTTTAAATAATAGAGTCACTAGTATGACATAACCTTGACAATAGAGTCACTAATTTAGTGACTATTAGATGATAAAATAATCGTATCACCTCTCCCCAAAATGTCCATTTTTGTATACTGAATCTGAGCGTCAATTAGGGAGAATTTACTGTAAATATTTTCAAACAGGATTAAAGTGCTTCAATCTTTTCTAAACAATAGAGTTCCTACTAAGTCATTAGTGACAATAGAGTCACTAATTTCTACTAGACAATGATCGAAATACTTTTCAAAATTCTGCTGTTACTTAGAATAGCAACAAAAATGCAAAACTACTGCCTCTATCATCATTGAACAAAATTCAAACCGTTCAGTCCAGTATTAAAAAAGTTGCACCGTTTTTCAATTGTCCTTAAGTACGTACATTCGTCGCAGTATACGTGACGGAATTATTAAAAATTTAATATCTCCGCTAATCCGTTGTAAATTCTCAATCTTACAAAGATCCGCAACAGGCAAGAACGTCGAACAAATAATCGACGACACACACAACTTTACTTCGCCGCTTCGATTTCATTGAATAAAGTACGGCGATGTCGCGAAACGTTTGAGGCCGCCGCCGTTGCTGCCGATTCTTAATAAATTTATCGTCCGAGATGCGCGCAGTCGTTTGGCAGCGCGGAAGAAAAACAAGAGGGCACAGCTTATCGATGCAAGAGCATCGGAAGCTGATCCGGCCGGGGAGCACAAAGAATCGGGAATCTGGCAAAGAGAATAGGAAAGCAGGGAGATGCAACCGATGCAGCTATGCCGGCCCTGTGCAACGCTGCCTCCGAGGGACTCCGCGGAGGGAATAAGCGGGCGAAGTCGGCGAACAATCGTAAATTTTCGTTACTCTATCGCGCTGATTATAAGCTAACTACTTGCCCCCGGAAAAATATCGTGCATTTTTTAATAAAGCGAAACAAATGGGACCGGCTAAATATCTATCTATCTATCGGAGGAGGAGGAGGAGGAGGAGGATTTACTGCTGCCGCGAGAAACGGCAGCGGAAAGAAAAAACAAAAAAGAAAAAACAGGTCGATTCGTCGCGTAGAAAGGCAAGAAAGAAGTCTCGGGAAACAAACGTTTGACAGTTTTAAGGAGCGCGACCGAGCAACGGCGACAGTTTTTCCCGAATCGATGGCCGCGTCGACGACAACGACGACGACGACGACGACACTCCCGACGCTGGCTCTTCGGCGCAGGAATTTTCTTAGCATTTCAGCTTTTTCTCTGCGGCGGCCTGGCCCGCGAGAGTCTCGATTTAGAGAGCGAGAGAGAGAGGGAGAGAGAGAGAGAAAGAGGGATGGAGGGTAAAATCCGGTGCCGCGAGAAGAAACGCGAACGAGTTCGGAAGAGATCTCTCGGGAGCCGGCCGTTGTGGCATCGTTGGATCGAGTTTGGTCGCGGATGGCCCCGTGAATCGTCTCTTTTCGGCCCGAGAAAACCCGCCGGAAGAAACCCCGGCGCTCGGATTGCGGTCGACGATATCGCGAGTATAAATAAATAAACGCCCTCCGCGCGGCGATACGAGCTCGAGAGGATCTCCCGGTCGGTCCGCGTCCCGTATCATCTCTTATTTTTAATTTTATTTACCGTGGCGGCCGGCGAGCGTAAACCCGATACGTTATTGGCCGGTGCCTTATCGATGTCTTTACGAGTTCGCCCGGTTTCCGTTCCGGTAAATAACCGCTCGCCGATCGTTCCCGGCCAGCCGTGTTCGCGCCTCGTAATTTTATTAGACGACCGACGACCAGCGGGATTTTTAACGCCCGATCGATTTCGGCAAGGAGGACCAAACCCCGGCGCGGAATATCGGCGAAGTGCGGCAGAAGATGCATTCGCGAGGTGAGCACTCTTACCTGCACTCGAGGAGCGCGCTCGCGCCTCGTAGAGTGTACGCCGGCACGTGTAAGTGCTGCAGCCTCAGGCCGGCCACTGGAACAGAAAGAAGAAACATTTCTTATCAGTCGAGAAGCGTCGGATACAACCAGCTCGACGTTTCGCGTTTTCGCCGTTTCCGGTTACGGTAATGTCTCCCTTACTGACGCTCAGATTGTGCACGGAAATTGGATAATTTGGGAAGAGGGGACACGATTATTCGAGCGCTTGCGGCTCCTTTTTATAATCGTTGACGATTCGTTAGTATACAAACAAACCGTAAAGCTCGAATAATCGCATCTCCTCTTCACAAATTGTCCGTTTTTGTGCACAATCTGAGCATCAGTAAGGGAGACATTACTGTAGTCGCGGGCGGCCGCGCGCGGATGCGTCAGACGCGCGCGATTAGTCGCATGCTTCGTAGATTGTTATTTCTATTATCAGTTATCGCTTTTTGTCTCATCTTTTATTGCCATTTAACTCTTTGCACTCGAGACTATTTTAACGCGAAAATTAAGACGTTTGCTTCGACCTACAATATTTCCATTTGATATCATTGTTTTTACTTGATGCACGTGAAATTGGTCGTGCATACTTATAGAAGGCTTCTATTATTTGACAATTTATCGAATACACAGACTAACTTCATAATGTGACAATTCTTTTGAAAATGGTGTAGCAATTTCTAGCGTCGCCTCAGAGTCGTCACTTGAGTGCAAAGGGTTAATTTATAATCACTGTTATTATTATTACTATTTGCGTGCTACGAATTTATTGTTCAGTATATCGCAGTCTTGCAGATAGTATAATGTGTGCGGAGAAGGAGAGAATCACTTTTCGAAATCGATTGAAATTTGAATGTTGAAAGAAGGCGATGGAGAATTTCTGTTGAGAATTCTGACGATAGGATATCTACAATAATAATATAATAACATCTATATAATATATAATATAATAATATATATAATATAATATATATAATAATATAATAATATCTATATAATAATATAATATATATAATAATATAATAATATCTATATAATAATAATATAATAATATCTATATAATAATAAAATAATAATATCTACAACAAGCGAGACGAAGAGGATTATTATAGCACATCGATGAGAAAACATTTACCAAATAATGACAATATAAAAACGGTTCTTTAGATTGAGTAAAGAACAAGTCAACTTTGTCTTAACTCTATTGTCTGAACTCTATCTTCACAATGGCCAACCTATTACGATATTTAAAGCAAATTAAAGCGTGTAACAGATCATAATCTACCCGAGCCACTGAAGAAAAAAACGATGACAATAACATTTCGCACATTTTTATACGTAAACGTTGAATATAACCGCAATGCGTTCGCATCCAGAGACAGCTTCCGAACCAGACGACCGTCAGACGCACACGTCGGACGCAACGCTTGGAAATCGCTTGTAGGAAAACAAAAGCATTATCTTCCGTTACATCAGTATAAATGCGTCGGACGCGTATAGGAAATCCCTTCGGTCTCTGCGGAAAGGGTGGCAGGAGAACCGGGTGAAGAGGGCCGGGAGGGGAAATAAGAGAAGGGTCCAGAGGAGGAGGGCGAGGAGTAGGAGCGTTTTCCGTTCGGAATTCGCGCGAACGAAAGCCTCTTTCGTTCGGATTCGACCAACGCTTGACCTACTCGCCGCGTCACAATGGAGGCATTAAAAAAACAGCTCTGCCTCTCTCTTTCTTTCTCTGGCCGCCTTCGGTATATTTCGACGACAAATTCTCGCGACCTTCGGGTCTCGGGCCTCGGGATCGAACGCTCGAAGAAAAGCTTGAAAAGTCCAGGGGACTCGCTGCGATCGAACGAGATCGAGAGGGGGGGATGGGGGTGGAGGGGGTTGGGAAAACCGCGAGTGGATGGATCGTGCTAGATGCTCAAACAATGCTCCGCAAACTCCATTGTACCGTCCTTTGTGATCGTTCTCCTTGCCGTCCTCCCTCTTCCTCGTTTCCTCGCCTTGCCACCCTCGCCACGGCTCGACTCGACTCGACTCGAGGCAAGACGAGGCGAGGCGAGGCAAGTCGAGTCGAGCCGAGCCGGGCCGAGGCGAATCGCGTGCGCGCCGCGGCCTTCTATAATCCCTTCTAGGTCAACGTCGTGGACCAATAACCATGGAAAACGCATCGAGATGCAATTATCCGATCCGAACGTCGCCGTTTAACCCCCTCCCGCGGCCCCGACCCCCGCCCGATCCGAACAGACGCGACCATTCCGCGGAGAAACGTACGATGGCTTTCGAATCGATCGGCCGCTTTGTGCGAGCGCGCGAGCCAATAATTGTCCGGGAAAAGAACTATAACTTTTCGCCGAGATTCCGGTACCGGTGTCGCCATTGTTATCCCACGAATGCCGCGGAGCTCGTTCGGTTTCGCGCCGCTTTGTGCCCGCGGCTCGCGGATTGATTCTTCGCCCCGATAAGCCGTAGGTGTCCGCCGTTTATTTTACGGAATTCGAGTGACCGACGTTCGTTTGCTTAATCGTTTCGCTTTTTAGAGGCGGCTCCACCTTTTCCTTGTTTCGTTACCGACCCGGGACGTTGCCTTTTTGTTTCAGGGAAGAAGATGGATTGCGGGCGAGCAACATCGGGAGAACGGTCCGACGACACATACCACTTAACGCGAGCCGCATAATGACCGGCGCGACAATTTTTATCCCGAAATTATCATTCTCATTCCGAGATTACCATTTTTATTCTGCGATTATCTTTTGCTCTTAAAATTTCCGGTATTATTCAACGATTCTTTTCTTTTCTATTCTGAAATTATTAGTTTTATTCTGTAATTATGACTTTTAATCTACAATTTTTATCTTTATCTTGAAATGACTAGGTTTATTCCACGATTGTAATTTTTATTATAGAAATATTATTTTTATTTACGCTACAATCGTTATTTTTATGCCATAATTTTTATTTTTATTTTAAGATTCCAAAGATGCCTCGACCGATTTATAATCTTTATCATAGAAATATTATTTTTATTTATGCTACAATCGTTATTTTTACGCTACAATCTTTATTTTTATCTTAAGACTGCAAAGATGCTTCGACCGATTTTTTATCTTTATCCTGAAATGACTATGTTTACTCCACGATTATAATTTCTATCATAAAAATATAATTTTTATGCTACAATCGTTACTTTTACGCTACAATCTTTATTTTTATCTTAAGACTGCAAACATCCCTCGACCGGAAATCATCAACTAAATTTATTTATACGAACACGTGCACGAATACTTTGCGAGCGAAGATTTTTTAAACGTAACAAAGTCTCACGCGATGATCCTGGTGTCATCGGCACGTCAACATGGGTCCTCGAAGGGTTAACAAAAATTACGAAAGACTCGAATAGCTTCGGTCGCGCAATTTTGACGAGGCGCGTCTCTTTCGGCGCTCGGTATTATCAGCGTTGCGAATAACGCACCCCCATTCAGAAGTGTCCGGCAAGTTCGCAATAAAAGACGACCGGCATGGATCACGGCGATAGGTGTTTACGAAGTCGTAATAATCCTCAGGATCCGCGGGCTGTACCAACAACTTGGCCGTGCGTGGAGGTGCTCGCGGGTTTTGACTGATTCGAAAGGATTCCGCGCGGCCGTTTAATTAAACGCGGGCGATATTTTATGTCGAGTGTGCCGCCGCGCCGGAAGAAGAACGACGACGGAGGCTGGCCCGGCGGGCTTCCTCTGAATCGTAATATACGCTGTCCGTGACGCGGCATTCCGCGTTCCAGCGCGGTGTGTCCGAGTCGCCCTAAATGGTTCTTGTCCTCCCATTCTTTCCCTGTATATGCGCGGGACACGCGGCCTTTTCCGCCGTCTCTCTCTCTCTCCCTCTCTCTCTTTCTCTCTCTCTCTCTTTCTCTCTCAGCCGTGACTTTTAAAAGCCCGCGAGCGCGACGCGCGTGCCGCAGGCCGGGTCGCGGCGCGCCGCGCGGCGCGTATCGCGGCTCGCGCGCGGCCGTAATTTCGCTTCGCGATGACTTTTCCCCCGGTGAAACGCGATCTCTCGGACGTTTCGCGTACGTGGCCGGCTTGTAAGTTACTCGGCCAGAAAGAAACGTTCCCCGCGGTTAATCTCTTGCACGGTCGCGCCGCTTAATCCGCCACTCACGGACCAGGATGCATTGTCCTTCTAATTACCCCGGGCCAGGATCTTAATGGACTTGGAAATGCCAGGCGTGTCGGTGCCGCGCCGCACTCGAATTACGCAAACGTGCGAGGACTTTTTAATCGAAATCGCAGGCGCCGCGGCGAGCGCGCGTTATCGCATTTTTAATAGCGACGCGACGTTGCTGCGTTCGGGGACCGCAACGCTGTTTTTCACCGCGACGCACGACCGCACCGCGAAGATGCCGCGCGGCTCGATGATCGGACACCGTCCTGAAAACCGCGATCCGCGACAATTTTCACCGTGTCTCGTCGGTTCCGTTATCACAGTTCCGCCTAATTGACGCTCAGATTGTCCGCAAAGATGGACGATTTGGGAAGGGGAGATACGATCATTCGAGTCTTGCGGTTTATTGTTATAGTTATAAATTGTTCACAATTATAAAAACGAGCCGCAAGGATCGAATAATCGTATCTCCTCTTCCCAAATTATCCAATTTAGTGGACAATCTGAGCGTCGGTAAGGGAGACATTACTGTCTGTCTCTTATACACATCTAGATGTGTATAAGAGACAGGTAATGTCTCTCTAATTGACGCTCAGATTGTCCACTAAATTGGATAATTTGGGAAGAGGAGATACGATCATTCGAGTCTTGCGGTTTATTGTTATAGTTATAAATTGTTCACAATTATAAAAACGAGCCGCAAGGATCGAATAATCGTATCTCCCCTTGCCAAATTACCCATTTTAGTGGACAATCTGAGCGTCAGTGAGGGAGACATTAATGTACAGTAATGTCTCTCTAATTGACGCTTGGATTGTTCACAAAAATGGACGATTTGGGAATGGGAGATACGATTATCCGTGTCTTTAGGTTCGTTTTTATAGTTATAAATTG